TTTAATTGTACATCTACGAGGACTAGAGTGCGCAATTTCGGAGTTCATCACGGTGGCTGGGCATTACTTTGATCTAAAACCAAGACATTTATGTTTATAAAAACGTTATGTTTATAAAAAAAATACTTTATGTTTATAAAAAACTTTGCTTAAAAACTATTTCTCTTTAAAGAGATTAGAAACTTGTTAAAAACATTCATCATAAAATCTCAATTATCAATAAATTTCTCTTAATATATTATCTCAATTATCAATAAATGTCTCGTTCAGTCAATATATATTATTTTTACTATATATTAACGACTTATCTAATATAACAAACAATCTTAATTGTTCTTTAAAATTTTTTGTGGACGATATCAAGTTATATAGTTCTTATCGTGACATGGGCCATCGAGTCGAGATTTAGCTCTTGTTCTAAATATGCTCGTACTCTGGACTGAAACGAGGCAACTAAAAATTGCTAACAATAAGTGTTTCGCACACAGGATTGCACCTCCTTCACTATGCGAAGGTATAAAAAGTAACTATAGTCTAGGGGATTATACTTTAGCTTGGTCCCCTAACCCAAATGATCTAGGAGTGACGATGGACTCTTAGTTATAATAAACATCTGCAAATGTTGTACATCAAGCTAACTCCAGAGCATACCTAATTTTAAAGTGTTTTAAAACTTGCGAGCCTTTTATCCTAGTTAGAGCTTTTACTACCTATATAAGATCAGTTCTAGAATATTGTTCTCCAGTTTGATCGCCATACCGTTTTGGATTAAATCAATAGAAAGTGTTCAAAAAAAAATTTACAAAGAAAATTAGGAACCTTAAAAATAAAACTTATTATGACTGTCTCCAATTGCTCGGTTTAGCCTCACTTGAAGTTAGGCGCCTAAAACAAGACTTAGTAACATGTTTTAAAAATTTTAAAAACCTTGTTTGTATTAAAAGCTCCTTGTTCTCCGATGTTGACAGCAATAACTACACTCGCGGTCATATTTATAAAATTTGAAAACGATATTGTCGCTTAGACACTCAAAAGTATAGTTTTTCTTACAGAATTGCTGACATCTGGAATAATTTGGATGCTGTACACTCAAAAAATATTTATATATTAAAAAAAAAATAAACTCATCCAATTAAAAAAAACACTGTTTATTATGATTGTTACATTTTTGTGATGGTACATTTTTAGTTTTTGTAAGGGAACACTGTTAGTGTCCATCTTTTACATGGGCCTACATGTCCTTTAGAACATGTTTCTCCTTGTTCTAAAAATAAATAATAATAATAATATTTCAAGCAACCGTGGCGCATTGGTAGCGCACTTGTCTCAGAAGCAATAGATCCATGGTTCAAACCCCAGCTCTGGGCGAGTTTTGCAACGTCGGTTAGGAAGGAGGCGTGAAGTTCCTATTAAATGCTCAAATGCGGTGCTCAGTGATAAGACCGTAAGGACTTCTTAGGGCACCTAAATAAAATTTAAAAATATATGTAAATATTACTTAAATATAAACATTTACCGGGGGTTAATTATAAGTAAAAGTCCCCCCGAAGCTGTAGTAAGAAATTTTTTATTGATAAGATAATTCTTTATTGGAAATAACTCGAGATGCAATTTGTTTGGCTGCTTCGGAATCTTTTGCTGCTAAAGATTAAAAAATTTCCCTAAACTTCATTGAAAGCATTAGTGGGACAATGGACTAAGGCATGTGCCGGAACGCACACCATGGCCTACTTAAATTACACAGCCTGATTTGTTGCATTTTCCGTAAAAAATTAAGAGGACTATTTTGTGCTGGATTTTTTGTTAACTGATTGCCTGTTTCAGTTTATTCTAATAACACAGAATACTGAAATAAGCTTTCAGATAGCTATATCAACACATACCAACATGCTACTAAAAATAACCTCACATTTTGCTAAGATTGCCCAAAACTCTTCATTTGAAAAAAGAATCAAAGGTTTGTAGTTTTGTATTTTTTATTATTGAAATTAAAAGAAGAAATACCTTTTTACTAGGAATATTTACTTTGTCTTAGCCTTTTTTGTAATTTTTTTACTTGATCTTTACTCAATGAATATGTAACTTCTTTTTGTAAATTGTTATAAAAATATTATTAACAATACGAGATCTAATAATGATTAAAATGATAATAATGATTAAAATGATAATAATGATTAAAAGTGTGTTGCATTATTTTTTTCAGGAAAATAACTCTAAATTACAGCTGCAGTAGTTTCGTCAAATATTATCAATGTTGACAACTTGTTTGTTGTTTCCAAAATATGTGACTTGATAATTAATTTTACTTGCCTGTTTAATAATTAATCTTTTAATAAAATTTAAAAAATATATTCCCTGCAATGTAACTAGCAGTAACTTTACATAGTCTCTGGAAAAATCAAATAAAAAAGACTAATTTTTTTTTTTTTGCGTTTAATAAGTTTTTCCTTACATTTTTTATAAAACGAAGTATATCAAATAATAAGTATGTTTTATACACTCCTTTTTTAAACTAAATGATAAATTAATAGTGTTCCATCACCAATATACGCTTTATGAAACTATAAAAATGCATTAACATTGGTAGAATGGTTATCTGTCACAACAGCCCTTATCTTAAATTCAGATTGGTGCATTGAAGTAATACACTCATCAATTTCTTTTTTCAAACATAAACTTGTCATGTAAACTTTTGGTGAGGATTTTAAAATAAAAACAAAAACAAATTTATAAAGATTATTTTCTCAATCTTCATCAAGTTGTTTACAACTTTGATATTGAGCTGCTTTTTGGAAGTCTTAACCACAAGAAGCTTTCAGTACTATGAGAAGAATTTTTGTCAATAATATTTCTAATATAATATAGTTTTTTAATTTGTAATTTTCACCACTGCGAAACCATTTAATAAAGAAATATGAAATATGATAAGCATTTACTAGGCAATGAAAAATTAGGAATTTTATTAACAGATATTGACTCCAAAACAGTTGGTATGCATGATATTTCTTGGCCTGTTTTGTTGCATTTTAATTGCTGTATGTATGAAACATGCAACATAGTAGAGTATTTCAAAACATTGTTTTGCAGTGTAAATATTTTTAAAGAAAAATCGATTTTTTATATCTAATAAACTGCAATTATTATAAATGCAAAATTACAAACCTTTAAAATTATTTCCAATAAAGAGTTGTGGGTAGTTTTAGCAACATGTAAGGTTATTTTTAGTAGCATGTTAATATTATTTAATAATATTAATAATAATTATTAATATGTGTTGATATAGCTGTCTGAAAGCCTATATCTGTGTAATTGGAATAAACTGAAGCAGGCAATCAGTTAACAAAAATTCCAGCACAAAATAATGTAAGTACTCAAATAAAATCTAACTATTATTAAACCATTTTAATAAAGTAAGAATAAACCAATTATAGTGCAAACAAGATACTTGAGCCGTAAAAAAACTGGCCTCCTAATTTTTTACGGAGCATTTAAAATTTTGAAATTAAAAAAAAAAAAATTTTAATAAGTAATTTACGGTGACATTAACGCTGTGTTATATTTCAATTACATCTACGTTTTTGAAATAAATAATTAGTACATATTATTTATTTAGTATTTAAAGATAAGAAAAACCAATATATCATAGCATGTTATCTCAGTTATACTTTGAAATAAAAAAAAATCGTCAAGAAATTTATTTTTTGTCGCACTAATTAGTTACCATAACTAATAGTTACCATAATTTTCCATGTGCTGTCTCATATCTATTTAAGCTATATGATGCTTCAATCAAGTTTTAATTGATTACTCGTCCCCTTAAATCCCCGTTCAGATTTTATATGTTTTAACTTGGCTACTATGGTACTGAGTTTTGCATAGCAACAGCTTACTTTTACATTAACATTAATTTAACAGTATTTTATCTGCGCTAAGGACACAATATTGAGAGAATGTATTGAAATGAGATTTACAATTCTTGAGGTCAAATTTTTTGGTTGTTATGGCTACCTTACTTTGCATAGCATATAAACAACATACTTTCGGTAGTTGTCATTAAATTAATTTCTAACACTAACAGTAATTTAATTACTTTTAATTACTAACACTTGTAGTAACTTAATTACTATCACGAATTAGTTGCCCACGTGGCATATATATTATAACATTAAACATTTAAATACAAATTTATTTGGGTAAAAATTTCTCAAAAAACACAAAAAAACACAAATCTGCACCCTATATCACCAAAATTTTTGAAACTTAGCACAAATGTTTATAGACATATGCTAGGAAGGATTGTAATTTTTTTTCATAAAATTCCTTACCGGTTATAATTTACAGCAATTTGAAGTTTCCTTGATTTTGACTAAAAACTGAGGGGGGAAAAGTGCCGAAAATCATTCCGTTTACTTTCACCTTAATATGGTGCTTGTAGTGATGCCACAATTCTGAAACTTTGTACCAAAAGAATTTAAAACCTGTTAAATCCGAAAAATATAGTTTTTTATATGTCAAAACAAGTTAATTTAGCTTATTTTAAGATTCATAAAGTTCACTTTATAACGCCGAGAAAAAAGGGCATTGACAATTATAGCTATAAAAAAAAACTGACTGATATAAAAAAATTTAATTTCGATTTTCTTAAAAATAAGATCAACACCTACTTTTCGAACCAATTTTGTTTTGGCCTTATATTTACTTGAGGAATTATTGATGTTTGATATAGACACAAAACTTTTTAATATTTTTAAAATTAGACACTTAATATAACCCCACCTTTTACCAATCAATCAAATTAGAAACTAAAAATTTTGTGACTTTATTATCTTTTTAATTTTCATATGATATTTACAACAAAATTTAAACGCATATAAATTTTTTTTTTTAAATACTAAACTTTAGTGATTTTATATATGCTTTACATTCACATTATTTACAAGTTGGTTCACAAAACATAATATTTAAAAAAAGAATGGATAAGACATAATAGACTCATAAATATAAAAATCTCTACTTCCTTAGGAAAAAATTTTTTTAAAGTCCTTTTTGGATAAATAGTAGCAAAGTCCTGTTTTTGTTATCAGTACCTCAACTTTGCAAATAATTTGGGCATCAGGAATCCAGCATTGGCTTTCCTTTGGTGGCCATTTAAACGACCGTGCAGGAGCATTAGGACACATAAATTTTACAAGCACATCTTTTTCTTCTAAATTAATATCTTCAATGACTCCTATCCACCACTTTTGCTTATAGGAAACACAGGCATAATCAACTGGTACTAGGTTTACAGTTCTTTTCAAGTCATGAATTAATGCAAATTCTTCATCAACACTGCATAGCTTAGTGCCTCCCTAAACAAAATAGTAACATATGCAATTATTCCGTTTTACTTATCAAACATGTTTTATTAAATGCATAGATAGCAAATGCAGAGGAAATAAAATAAAATACAAATATTTTTGATAATGATTCTGCAAAAATCTAATATCTATTTGAGTTTATCAATAAAAGTTGTGTGTATTTTAAAATATGGTAAAAGGTATAACTTAAAAAAAAAAATTTACCTTTTGATGGTCAAGTGGTACAAACTGATGGTAACTACGTGTTCCAGGTATTGTATTAGCAGTATCCAATCGTTCTTTAAGAGCGGTTCTCACCAAAGTTAAATCTTCTGATGAAATATATATAAAATTTATGCCTTCAATGTTTTCATTGCAATATTTATACATCGTTTGTGGAGATAAAATATGATTACCCATATCTCTTTGCAAACTTGCTAGTGTTGCAAGACGTTTGACTGTACCACCTATCCCATCACAAGGTTGCTTACCGTGACTAATTGCAAAAAAGTTCCATTTAGCAGTAAAAACCAAAATCTTCACAATGGAAACAAAGATTTAACATATTTTTGCAATTCTTATATTGACCTGCACACCCATCTGAAAAGTATTCAATATTTTTTATTTGAGGCAAATTTGTTTTTATATCATTGCAAACAACCTCAATAATTTTATAAACCATGTTCACATCATGGATCATATTATCTGAAATAATACAATAGGATTTGTGCTTGAGAATGCCTTCTTTTTTGAAATAAATAATCACTGGATGAGGTGTACATTTTAAATTTGTCAATGAAAGCTTTGCACTTCATCCTGAATTACAAATTTATAGTTTTCTGAAAAATCACCCAGAAATAATGTTGTTACCTCATTCATATTTACTTTCTTGATCTCAGGTATAATGCTTGACTCTTTGCTAAATACAAATGTGGTGCAAGTTTTTCCAGTTTTCCACATACTAGTTAAATGTATTCAAACAATGGCTCTTTATTATGTGTCAAGTTTAACCTATCTGTTGTTGTCCATTGATCAAATTCAATCTCCTCATCTTCAAATTCTCCAAGTTTATCATAAAGTTTTTCAACCAATGCATTCATAGTTACTAGGCATTTTTCAGATTTCCTCATCATACAGTCTTTATTAGTTATATCACAGACAATATAAGGTAACAATTCTTTGTATGTCACACCAAGAGGATGTAAAAGCAGTTTCAAATTCTGATGAATAGCACAGACGCATACAGTATGTGTTCCTGAGGCACCAACAGTAATACACCGTTTAGGTCACAAGGTGTAAAACCTTGAAAATCCTATTTTTATTTCTGGGTTCTTGGTTTTAAAGGCAATAAACAATTCCTTTAAATTACATAAGAGCAAACGTTTTTGCATGTGGACATTTTTCTTTATGCTTACATAGTACCAGGCATTATACAACTATGTTCATCGTATTCGTAAAAGGTCTTGACCAGTTGAACTGTTACATCAGGAAGAGCTTTTCCTAATTAAGGATTAGGCATGGTTAAAATACCTTTTTCTAATGTTAACTTACGTGCAGTTCGAGCTACATAGTTTGTTACATGCAATGTTTCAGATACCTTTTTTATTGACCAGTCTGTTGGAGCAAGTTTCGCAAGTTGTACTTTTTTGATGTTGATGTAGACTGCAATTTTGTTAGTTAACAATACCATCATGTTATCAAACAAGTTTGCTTTTTCCATATACTCATTATTAAAACTTGACTATTCTTTAAAACTTTCTTCTGATATATTAAGGGAAATGGCTACAATGGAGGTTGTTAATGTTGTCAATTTTCGTTTACCTTCTCTGATTTTACCTGACTTGTGCAATCCTTTGACCTTAATTGGAGATACTCCGGCAGATGCAAAGTGTGTATCTACACTTTCTTTTTTATTTTGAATGGATCTTTCAATAACGATATCAAAATCTTCATCATTTTTATTTTCACTTATACTTTTTGATAAACATGTCATAACTTTACTTCGACAGGTTGGACACAGTTTTTTTCCAGGTATAAGATTTAAACCTATGGTTTCTGCTTCTAACACAGTATGCATTGTAATCACACGTCGAGATGCTTAAAAAGAAAGTAATTACATTACTTAAATAACATTAATTATATATATTATGTCATTATATTACTATACAATTTGTTATATTAATAGCTATGAAACATTGAAGAAATCTTATTACCAAAAAAACTTATATGACTTATTAATAATGATATTACAAGAAATCTTAAATAATCTTAATGTCCCTAACAAGAAAAGTACACTTGAACACAAACAATATCATATCAATATATATTTATAAAGAACATATTGCTTGAACAAGTAGCTATTAGTTTAATAGACATATTTTAAATGCCTAACTATCTACTAATTATTGTAAATTCTCCATTAAATACTTACAAAAAGTTGTGTAAAAGTAAAAGATAACTAAATATAATTTTATTTAGTTATGTAACTTAACATGGTAATGTTAATTAGACATTATTATATCATTTTATTACTTTTTTTATTGATGATAATGTTTTATTACAACAAAACAATCAACAACAAAAGTTACATAATATTGTTAAATTTAATGACATGATATTATGTAATGAAAATGACATTATTATTATGTAATGAAAGTAAAAAGAAACAAATTTATAAAATGTTCAAGTATGTTTTGTAATAACTTTGTAAATTTTTTACAAAGCTATTACAAAACAAAAATAATTGTATTTGTATTATATTTGCAAATTTTTTTTTTTTTGCAAAATATCTTTGGAAAAATTGAAAAACTAAAACATCAATAACTCCTTGATAAAACATAAGGCCAAATAAAAATTGGTTCGCAAAGTAGACATATGTTTAATATTCAAAATAACGAAAACCAAAACTTTTTTTCATCAGTCAGATTTTTTCTAGAACTATAGTTGTCAATGGCCTTTTTTACTGTCATTAACAAGTGCGTTTTGTGGATCTAAAAATAAACTATATTTTATTATTTGAGATATATAAGTTTATGATTTTCAGATTCAACAGGTTTTAAACTCCTTTGGTACCAAGTTTTAGCTAAGCAACATTACTACAAGTTTGTTAAAAGGGTAAGGGACATATTTCCGGCTTTATCCCCCCTCTTTTTTCAGTCAAAAAATAACTAACTTCAAGTTGCTGTAAATCTTAAAGGGTTGAGAATTTTTTGAAAAAATTTTACATTCTTTTCTAACTTATATCTTTAAATATTTGTGCCAAATTTCAGCGAATTTGGTGATGCAGGGTGCAACACCTTATTTTTTGAGAAATTATTACCCATTTGTTTTAAGATTTATTTAGATATGATTTTATTAACTTTAGACATTGATAATTTTCTCCAAAAAAACAATTTTAGTATTTCAAAACAAAATATTAATGAATATATATTGAAATTTATTCTGCCAAAATTTGCTGAATTTAAAGACGTTGGTTTCTAGACATGCTATTCAATGATTTGTTTACTTGTATAAAATAAAGTGAAAATCTGCAAATTGTACTGTTAAAATTTTTGAAAAGAAGTTTGTAAATTGGTATAATGAATATTTAATTGTCAAAAAAAAACAACAACAACAAACCAACTGCAAGTAGACGTGGTCAAAAACCATTTGCATTTGATAATAGTTCTAATAAAACTAAAAAACTGATTAATTGAATCTTATTCATTCAATGAATTATTTTTTGCTAATAAAAAATATAGAGATGAATCTTTTGTTAGTGCTGTCAAGAACGTTTTAAATATTTTAAATACAGATAAAGCAACTAAATATTTAGCAGACGAAGCACTGGCTCTAATAATTGAAGCCATTCTGACAAAAGTTTCCTATCAAAAAATTATTTAACTATATATTATTTAATTCTGATGGGAAACTTTTGTCAGTTAGAAATAATTGAAAATCCGATAGAATATTCAAATATCAACTTAAGTCTTTGTAACAAAATATCACTTTTATAATAAGTGTGATCTTATATTGGTACTTGCGCCAAATTTAGAGAACATAGCACTCAAAATATCTGCAGATAACAAAAATAGGTTGTTGCTAAGCAAAATAAAGGTATCCATAGCAACGAAATAAAAAATATTATCTTCATAAAAAGCGCAGACGTAAAAGAGTATTAGTACTCATGCTAATTTTAGTGAATATAGCTCTAATATTAAATTAGTTATGAATTTTGTCCAGAAAAAGCCCCACTGTGCAATGGGGAGATGCTACTTTTTTCCTCTCATGTTTCCTGCGCAAAGAAGTTCTGTAAAACTCGCAGAATCTCTGGGTACCTGAGAACTACTGGTATTAATCTTGGTCTTTTACAGTTTTAATCTGCTTGGAAAGCAGTTAGCTGTCTTAAACATTTTTTAAGATTTTTTTGGCAGTTCATCAGATGATGACATATATGAAAGTCTTAAAACTTGGAAAGACTTAATTTATATCAGATTCTTATTTTTATGTTCAAATATAAAAATAATATGCTACCGAATTCTTTTTTAGACATATTTTTGTCATTATTTTCTCAAAGTTATAATCTGCGATCAAATAGCTTCCATGACTATTATATTTAAAAAAAAACTAAAACCTGGGGTTCTGAATTTTCAATTACGTCACAAGGTTCCAAAACATGAAAAAACTTGAAAAACCAAAAATTAAAAGATTTAAATGGAATATCGTCGTTTAAAGGGCAAAGTTGCATATTCTTAGTTTAAATCAAAATTTATATTAAAGTTTGCATCAATATTATACTAATGTATCAATATTATATTAATGTATTTTTATCAATCAAATGTAATAATTTTCTATATATATTTTATTTTTTTTCAAGATAATAATTGTATTTTTTATATGGTATACCTGGAAAAAAAAATTCAAAAAAAAAAAAAAAAAATTAAATCTAACAAAATTTAGGGAAGTACTTCACTAATTCAAACTGTCTTTTATATTGGACTTTCAAATATTATTAAAAACTATTTTATTTATAAAAATTGTTTTTAAATATTTGCTTAAATAACAAGGAAATATTTCTTAAATACTTCTTTTATCACAAGGAAATAATTATTTAATTAATGATACTTATCACACTTAATGACAATTTAGATGAGATTTTATATAATGACACTGTCCAAAAACACGATCTTCACTGCTCTTCAAAGAAAAATTATCACCTTTATAATATCTTTTCTATTTGATAAAGATTTTTTCGTTTGTGCTTTACTTGAAATAATTTTTTGTTGAGAATATATATTTTAAAAGTTTTATTCAAATATTTTTGAGGTTTCCAATATATCTATTTCAAAATTGTTTTTAAAAAATTTCAGTTTTTGGACATGTCTTTTTTTAAATTTTGCCCACATACTGTGCATCGTATTGTTTCTTGTAATTGTTAAAATATTTTTAAATTATGTTGGAAGTGCAAGATGACGCTCCGTTTGATGCAATTTTATCTGGTCTGCGTAATGCTGTACCATGTTTCAATCTCTCTTTAAAATCGTAACACCACTGTAATGAAGGTTTGCCATTTTTGAAAAAATGCTCTTCTTTCGTGTTTTTCAAATAATGTTGAACAATAGAAATTATATCGGCTTGTATCAAACCATTACCCCAATCGAAAATTGAATTATCAATAACTTTTAGTTTCAATTGATAAAGCAGTTGGCCTTCCGCTTCCCTGTTGATCTGCGTTTTTTACTTTTATTTTTGTCAATCAATGTTGATTTTGATATATTGAACTAGAATGCACATTTTCTTAATGATATTCCTTGCTCTCGATGATGTCTCAAAGCACTTTCAAATTTTTCTTTTATCTAAATAACTTAAAATTTAAATTAAATAACTTTCTTATTTTATTGCACAATAAAATTAAAACATTACCGTTCGATTTAGAATCAAAAACTCCAATAAATTTTTAAAAAAATTTTAAAACTATTTTTTTATTTAAGATTTTATTTAGAATGGTTTTTTAAAAGTTATAAAATGCAAAATAATTAAATTAAAATTAATTACTGGTTAGATAAAGTTTCATTTGATGACTTCTTTCTTAGTCTCCCCTACATATTCCTAGTTATTTCCTAATGAAACTAATATCTTATAAACAATCTTTAAAAAAAAAAAAATTCGAAATTTTTTTCTAAATAATTGTACTTTTTTTTGCAATTTCCCTTTATTAATTGTTTTTCATTACCTTATAACAAAAACATTGGTATTAAAAAAAAATAAAGTTTTTATCTATAAAATTATTTACAATCATTTTATAATACGGTGACATCAAGATTGCATATTATATTTCATATATTTTCAAATGTATTACATATATGCAAATAGATACCTATTTAATATATTATATTATTACAAAAAAATGTATAAATGACAACTTTAATCATGAATATATATATATATATATATATATATATATATATATATATATATATATATATATATATATATATATGAGAGAAGTTAAGAGATTAAAAAAAATATAATTTATGAATGTCTATAACAAAAAATAAAATTTGATTTTATATATTATAAAAATTTTAACCAAATGATTGCTTGGTCTGAGATAAAATATGCACCCCACGTTCAACCCAATTAGCGCATGCTTCAATCGTCAGGGTTACTAATGATACTTCTTTCTTAACAACATTCCACTCTTTTGTATAATTCGCGGAATGAGGAAATTTTATCTGATACAATGAGTCCAGTATAGAAGGAAACATAGAGGAACCGTATTTATTAGTAGCAGCTGGTGCGGCGATATAGTTTCTAGAACAATAAATGAAATCAAACATCCAAACAAAATTATATATATAAGCAAAGAAATAGTTTAAAAAGAATTCACAAATATACATACATATATAAATATCCGTAAAGATCTATATACAGTTATCATATAAATACACATTTACAAATATATTTACACAACCATCGGAACGTTTTAAATATCCGTATTTAAATGAATATTAAATAAAAATTAAACATTAACACAAGCATATTAACAAATAGCTTTTTAAATTGCATTTACAATTTTCATGCATACAATAGAAACATTTTTGCTTGTAAACAAAAAGTTAATAAAATAATTTATAAATAAATTTACATTAAATGTTGTATTTACATTAAATATGGTGACAAATTAATAATTTTAAAAATTAACTTTCAGTTTTCTCTATTGCACCACATTCTCTAATTCTTCATCAGATTCTCACATTCCACCCTTCTCATTCATGCATTCCATCTTATTCATCCACACTAACCTTTTATCTCATTGTTATAGTTTTGAGTATATAAAATGAATAAAATTTTACTTTATTTTTTCTCTCCCTGGCAAACCATTATCTCTCAAAAACAACTTTTCAATTTGCATGATGACATCATTCACTATTCGCAGTGAAAGCTGACTAAAAAAGCAACGTCAAAAATTATCACAATAACAGTTTCATATAACCTTAATTGAAATAATAGCAATAATACATATATACAACAACAATAATCCCTTCGGGCATTTGTTTTTGAAAGCTACGTTCTAAACGTCTTTTAAACGTTTTTTAAACTTCTTATAAACGTTCTTTACGTAAGAATGTTTAGAAGACGTTTAAAAGACATTTAAAATACATTTAGAACGTAACTTTTAAAAGCAAATGCCCGCTGGGATAATATCAATATTAAAACCTTTGGTCTACATTTGTACTTTGATGTTTGTCTTTTAAAAGCATTTTAAGCTTGATTGATGACGCTTCAAATTTATTTACAGCATTTAGTAGGTGAGCTTAAAAAAAGTGCACATAGAGCAAACAAATATGAAAGATATTACATAAATTTTTTTTGAGTGTATGGTTTCAAAATACAAGTATTAGTGCATAAATGCTTGAATATAAAAAAAAAATCATACTAATATGCATAATTATAAAATACAATAAACAATATATACAAGTATTAAAGGTAGAATCTTTTTGGACAATATCTGTGATTAATTTTGATGATTTTTCTTTTAAAATTTCACTTAGCACTACAGCATCAAAAGGAATCAAAGGTAAATCTGAGATTCTCAACAATATATGTGTTAATACTTGAGAATAAGCTAAATGAGCTTTATAGCCTGGATCGGCATAATTCTCAATCCATTCCAGAGTGTCGTACTCAGTGTGATAAGTAGTAAAAGTCTCCCCAGACCCCTAAACAAAATAAAATAAATTATAAACAAATTATTAAAAACACTTGATGAAAATCTAATAAACAACTACTTACAAACTTAAAATTTGCACTTGTTACACCAGCCAAACAATAAAAAGGTGTATAGTCACTTGCAGAAGTAAGCCCTCCAAACCTGAAATAACAAACAATAAAAAGGTGTATAGTCACATACAGAAGTAAGCCCCCAAAACCTGAAATATCGCAAAATTATGATAATAATGAAATTAAGTAAGTAAAAAGTTTTGTCTTTTAAAATTACTAAAGTTTTTAAGAAAAAAAAATAATAATAATAACAAATAATAACTTTGGCAATTTTTTTTCTTCATCTGGGTTGAAATTTAGCATCCTCTCATAAACAGTTTGTGTACTGTCAGGATAAGCAACCTAAAAAGACATTAAAAGTTACTTAGTATATTGAAAAATACGCAATAGAAGAACATCAGAATTTTGTTTCATTTGTTTTTCAAATAATTGCCTTCTAATTTCTGTTATAAATATGTTTTAAGTTATATAAATTAATTTAACTTCTAACTTTATTAAATGTTAAAGTAAATACTTAGTACACTGGGAACAAAAACTTGGTATATATATTTAATGACTTTAGTCATTAGAAGTCAAGGAGAAAGAGAAACTTACTTTCTTTGCAGATTCCCAAATGACATCTCTAACTAATCCACTTCCAATGGCTAATAAGCTTTCATTTCCTTAAAAAACAAAAAGTATAAAATATAAATATTAAATAAAATCATATATAAAACGTGTGACAGATCAGTTCAGCTTCAAATAATAAAACATATGGAAGTGCTCATAACAAAATTAGAGTATTATATATATATATATATATATATATATATATATATATATATATATATATATATATATATATATATATATATATATATATATATATATATATATATATATATATATATATATATATATAATATTCAATTCAACAAAAACAATGTTGTATTTACAAATGTACTTATCTTTAAACAAATATTGTTTTACTATTAAACACCATGTTTTTCTAAATAATTTAACAAAACCAATTTTGTTACTTGGAAACAAGTTTTTACTAAAAACCTAGTTGTTGTTACTAAAAACCAATTGTTAAATATTTTCTGATAGATTTTAAATAATTTTGAAACATCAATCACTAGTAAATATTACAGTATTGTGTTATGCATTTATAATGCAAAAAACCAGCTAGTTTGATCTTTTGTTTTTTAAAGTTGATAAACATGCATTACAAGGTATGTCATTGAACAAATATTACACAAATAAAGTTGTATTTGTAAATGTTTCTAATTTATAAAATTTTCTCAATATATATAATTTTCTAAATATATATATATATATATATATATATATATATATATATATATATATATATATATATATATATATATATATTAGTGATGTACCGATTGCACATTTTTGGCCGATGCCGATACCGATGGATAGGAAAAGGCCGATACCGATGCCGATACCGATAGATTAACTAGCTATTATAATTTGAAAATATAAAACCATACAACTTTAAATCGTGTAAAATTTTTCATGGAATCAGAATTGGTAAGCAAATACTTGGACCCAAATCAGAGTCAAACCTTTATTTCAAAAGATATTAGAAAAGCTCAATCAAATAAATATACATTTTTTACTTTTTTTTAACTATGAAAAGAAAACTTTCAAAAAATAATTACAATTTTAGGGATAAAAATATAAAAATGTCATCGGTTGGAAAATCAGTAAATTGATAAGGAAAGGCCGATGCCGATACCGATTGTGCAAAAAGTGACCGATTAAGCCGATGCCGATTAATCGGTACATATATATATATATATATATATATATATATATATATATATATATATATATATATATATATATATATATATATATATATATATATATATATATATATATATATATATATATAGGTTTTGACCTAATTAAAATGTGACGTTTTGTGTTAATAAACAAACTCGCTTACTTTCACATCGTTGTCTATTGTTAAAAATTATTAATGGGTAGTTTCATTACTTAAACTGACTACATATAATCATTCACTAAAAGCCAAGGATTCAGTATTCAAATAAAAGCATAAAGGTTTATCTTATTGTGATTGTTTTATTTTTAGTGTAACTTTTTTAAAAAGAGTTTGTAATTCAAACCTGCAACAATAATTATTAAAACTTTCACGAAAGAAGAACAACATTTCACAAAGTAAGTTTCTTATTTGTTATCTATATAGTCAAAATTTTAAGTTATCAAATAAATAAATAGAGTACATAACACATTAATTATTAAGTATTTTCAATAACAATTTTATTCCATTTTTAGTTCAAATTCTTTCACTTATGACTGATTTTTGAAAGTTCATACATAGCAGAGTTTATGAAATGTTCTGAATGTTGATTGTTTTCTAAATGCGGTACTGGTGTAGTGGTAGAGCGTTTGCTTCATAAGCAAAAGGTTCCGAGTTTCAATTCCCGCCAAGTCCCTGGTAGTACCGCGCTCAACTTGCTTCTCCGCCCAGCAGCCTTGTTTGTCAAGGTTTGTGTTTCGGAGGTGTAGCGTTGAGAGAGGGTTATAACCACAATTGAGTAGCCTCCTCTTCTGTAGTGGCCTTCTTGGCCTTGGGGAGGTGAATTACAAAAAAAAAAGTTTAAACAAAGTTTTAACAATTCATACCATTTATTAAAAGCTATATAATAATGAAACATTTTCACATTGCTATAAGTACTGCTATAAGTATATTATACTTTTTTATATTTAATATAATATTTATTTGAAATTAAAATAAAAAGGTTTTTATTTTTATTTTATATAAAAAAAAATGTTTTTTATTTTTCACATAAACTTGTAAATTTTTTGGAACTATTATTGTATATGGATAAATAGGCCATTTTTGCTTTTTTTTTTTTTTTATATTTCCATTATATTTTTATATGTGAATGGAATTCACATATAATTTAAACTTATATCACCTGTAGTAGTTACAATCTAGATGGTTTTCATTTACAGTAAGTATTCATTTTTGGATAAATATATACTTGCATTAAATATCTATTTAACTTTTTTTTTAAACATCTTCACTTCCAACAAGGCTGCAAGTTACTGCAACTTAGAGTTGGAAGTTACTGGAAGAGAAAATATGAAGTTTATAAAGCAAGATAACAATTAACAGACAACTTAAAAGATTGAAATTTATTTGAATTAGGAAAACAAAATAAAGAGAGCAAATTTTAAAACACTGATGTTCAAGGAAAAAACTACACAAAAAAGAATTTCGGGAGCACTTAGGAACAGCCACAGTAAAAGGATGAGACTTGATTGAATGATGAGTAACACAAGAATGAATTTTAGTAGAAAGTACAAGAGACACTGGTTTTTTGGAGCAATGTTCATTATAGTATTTATAGAAAAGAGAAAGAGAAGCAACCTTACAACATGAAAATGGTTTGAAGTTGACTGATAGAATAGGTCAAACTATGTTTACAATGCATTTTTGCACATAGTCTAAAAAAGGAAGGGCATCATTGGAAGATCCACCCCAGATATGACAAGAGTATTTCATACAAGGACAGATTTGAGCTTTATTAGAGATAAAGAATAGATAAGAGTAAAAAAGAGTAAGAGAGTGGCAAGCATGATAAAAAGATGCAACCTTAGCAGAAATTTTACAATCGATTTAATATATGGTTTTCAAGTAAGATCAAAAGTAAGAGTTAATCCTAGAAGATGTAGGACTAAAAAAAAAGGTAGATGATTCATTGAGTACATTACAGTTCATAAATATAGAAAGATCTAGATAATTGTGATTAGCTAAAAAAAAATTGAGTTTTACCTGTGTTAAATTTCACCAGCCACTGAGAGCCCCACACTGTGGCAGAAGTGAAATCTTTTTCAAGCTCAAATGCTTTTCCAAGAGTGTTGGCTTCTTATCAAGACAAGAATAAATGGTAGTATCATCAGCAAACAGTGCCATCTTAGATATGAGAATTTCTAGAAGATCATTAATATAAATTAAAAAAAAGTATAGGGATAAATATATATATATATATATAGGGTAAAGGATAGAACCTTGAAAAACCCTGAAGTTACAGGAAGTGAAAAAATGTGCTATCCATTGAGGATGACATTTATTATACGATTGGTAACGAAGGACTCAATAATCTTTAAGATTTTATCTGACACACCATAAAAAGAGAGCAAGAGAGAGAAGACAAGCATGCCAAACTTTATTAAAGGTTTTAGAAATGTTGAAAGGGAAAGCCTTAACCTCTCCACATCTACCTAATATAAAATAAAACCTATCAGTTACTACCATTAACAAATCAGCAGTAGAATGAGAAGATTAAAATCCATATTAATGATCAGAAAGGAAGTTATTAGATTCAAGATAAGAGATTAAGTGGTTACGATAGTAAGAGGACTTATAGGACGGTAGTTAGACAAGTCAGATCACTCTTCAGAATTTTTGAAAACTGGGATAACAAATGCCACTTTCTAGTAGGCTGGAAAACAAAACTCTCATAAGCAATTGTTAAATAGTTTGAAAGTATAGAAGACAGCTCCGGACAACACTTCTGCAAAACTATAACAGGTATGTTGTCAGGACAACAAGCTATAAAAGAGTCTAAGCAGGAAATCATTTTAGATATAGAAGCTGGAGTAATACAAATGTCAAGCAATGGATCAATCTATTTGTTGGCAATATCAGGTAGAACACAACTAATGGAATCAAGAGATGATATTGATGAAAAGTTCTTAGCAAACAATTTAGCTATGTCTTTAGGTGAGGTGACAAAATCTGAACCGTACAAGAGAGGTGGAATAGCAGATTTGCCCTTATTTTGGACGCTGTTGAAGATTCTAAAGAAGTCTCAGGAGCCTAATTTTTGAGATGAAATATGTAAATGATTTTGTGACCTGAGAATAGTGGGCTCTGTGCTCTGGAGAATTGTTTTGGTGATATATATAGAAGTAATGGTTACAATTGGAAATTGCAGCAGCCCAATGAGAGGAAAACCGTGGAGAAGAGCAAGGCTTGACTTGAAATCGTTGAGAAGGAATAAAAGATTCCATGCTAGCCTTAATCCAAGAAGGTACATAAAAAGCACATTTTTTCAGCAAGAAGACGAAGGATTTCTATCTATGGGCCATCAGAACGAAAATCACAAGTTGTAAGAGGTAAAATGAGGGATTTTGATGATGAAGAAAAATGAGATAATAGTTTTAGATAGATCAAACTGATCAAAAGTAGGGGTAATTGTGGAGATACTGAGCACAGACTGTTCATGTAAAGATAATGAGCACAGACTAGAATCAGAAACAAGACATAAGTCAAATAAGAAATGTAAATGATTCGAATTGTCTGAAAAGTGAGTAGGAAAGTTGACTATTTGTGTTAGAGATGGAGAAAAGCAAAAAATAGCAGTAGACCTTAATGCCTGCAGAATCACTGACTCTAGAGCCAAGCTATTCAGTGTGATGAGCATTAAAGTCCTTAACAACAATGATTTTGGCTGGAGAATAAAGAAAAAGGGCTTGGTCAATTTGATCAGAAGTAATATTGAGTTTTGAGATGAGGAAGAGGAATATAGAACAAAGAGAAAGTAGGTCTGGTGAATTTTAAAAGAGATAAGACTTAACAGAAGAAAAGTTAGTTCAAAGACCACAAATATTAGTGAATGATTTTAGAGAGCTTGATGAAGACAATGGTTTTTTTTTTTTTTTTTTTTTTTATTATAGCTTTTGGTACTTACGATACTTTTGGTACTTTACTAATGGATTTCTTAAGGAACTTGAATCAAAGCACAGATAGTACTCAATACACTATTTAATAGTCTAAGCAATTGCCTTATTACTTTTAATAAACTCATGCATTGAGTCAAGAAAACTCATGCATTGAGTCAAGAAGATCTAGCATTTAACATCCTAAACTGGAAACAACATATTTTATTAAGTGGTTTTGCACTAATTTATTATTGCTATGTTTTTTTGCCTTTTTTATTTTAGTGCAAACTTGAATTTAGCAGCCTTTGTAATTCTACAAAAAAAAATTAGTAGTTGTGGCTTTAAAACAAAAAACAACTGTTTTTCACTGGGCCATTTTTGGCTTCTTGAAATCTTAAAAAAAACCTTTTTAACCAAAATCTTTATCTTAGCACCAATATTTTGCAGAATTTTCAGAATATTAGATATTTTAGATATCATATTTTAGAATCACATATGTTCTGCATCACATTTTGCAGAATCATATTTCAGAATATTAGATATTTTAGATATCATATTTTAGAATCACATACGTTCTGCATCACATTTTGCTTCAGAAAACATTTGTTAAAGTAGAACTTAGAAAATTATTTTGTTCTACTCTAATAATATATTTTTTGTTCTCTAATAAATTATATATTAATAAAATATATATATATATTATTTCAGTTTCACTTAATTGATTATATGACATGTAATTACATATAGCAAATTACATACAATTATATATAAAATGTATATATAACAAGTATAACTAATACACAATTATATGTTTATATAACAACTGACTAATATGCAACTATATATAACCTGCATACAACATTTACATTTCACATTGATCTATGGTTAAATCATATCATCATTAATATAAAAAATACAACAGCATTGCAAAATATTGACTTTTCTGAAACAGAACATTCTGTGGGCACATCCAATTTAGCGCATGAAATAGAGTACAAACTAGATATATAGAAACTACTGATTTCCAGTATACAAAGTTTAAGTTGCAATAAATTGATATTAAAAGAGTAGAGTAAATAGATTATTTAAGAAAACATTTTTCACCTGTAAAATATTTTAGCAATAAATAAGAATTACAAAAAGACAAAATACCAAATATTGCAGGATCAAGGTTCAAGTAAGCAACACCATGGTTACGTAGATCATGCAAAAATTCCTAATTTGAAATTTAAAACAAGTAAAAAAAAAAAAAAAAAAAAGTTAAAAATTTATAGTCAATAAATAATTTAAAAGATAAAGAAAAAGATTGTACTTCTACATATTCATTAGAACCTAGCAACCCGTGTTCTTCTCCGTCCCATGACATCAGTTTTATTGTTCTCCTTGGCAACCAACCTTTCAAAATAATTTTTTTATAGTTTTTAATTATTTTTTATAATTTTATTAATTTTTTATTTGTTACAACAATTATTAAATTAAAATGACAAAAAACATTCACTATATAAAAAAAGAAAAATAATAATATATATATTATTATTTTTCTTTTTATATAATAAAACAACTACTGAAGCAAACAACCTTTTTTTAACATTTCACCAATAACTCTAGCCATTTCCATCATAATAGAGGTTCCACTTGAAGAATCAACTGCCCCAAATGCCCAAGCATCTCTATGGTTACCCAACATGACATACCGATCTAATAATATTTTAATAATATATATTAGTTTGAGCCTAGGTATACCACAAATGGTAAAAAATGTCACTTGGATCCTTGACATTTTTAGTTGATAATATAAAAACACTTAAGTAAAAAACAGCTAAATTAACTAGAGATTAATTACAAATGTTTTTAATACTGTTTCACTCCCAACAAGGCTGCAAGCAACAACGATTAAGTTAGGATTTACTAGAAAGAGCTAGGAAACAGTTGACAGAAGACTTGAAAAGTTGTATGTTGTATGAGCCAGGAAAAGAAGATCATGAAGATGGGAGAGATTTCCAAAAGCATTGATGTGCGAGAAAAAAAATTGAGTGAATAAAATTTTTTAGAGAATGAATGGATAGACACAGTAAAAGAATGCAACTTCACTGAAACACAGTGCTTGAAACACAGTGCTTGAATCATCAGATTCAAGCTTCAAGTTCAGTTGATGGAACTAGATACATATCTTGTTTTGAAACCATGATAGTATTTGTAGAAAAGAGAAAGATATGCAACCTTAAGATGATGGAAGAGTTGCTCAAGCTAGGTAGATAGAGCAGGCTCAGCTACATTTACAATGCATTTAAAGAGAGAATTAGTGAGTTTGCATATACTGTCTGATTTGCTATTTTTTAAAATTGAATTGCTAACTCTTTTTTCTCTTATCAACAAAACACCAAGACTGCTAAACAAGACCACTGTGAGTAGAAACAGGTAAAACTTTTAGAGATGTAGCGTTGATTTGAACTGTGTTTAACTGCTAGCCTATTACTGCATAATACATTAGTCTACTACATCACCTGAGGATTTTTGAGCAATTATCAAAAGACTATTGATAATTGGGTAGACCATTATTAATTTGGTTTGAGAAGACCATGTATTAATGTGGTAGTGGCGTAGTGGTAGAGTACTCGTCTCATTAGCAAGAAGCCCTCGTCTCATAAGCAAGAAGTTCCAAGTTTGATCCCAACCATGCCCCTGATAGTACTGTGCTAAACCTGTTTCATCACACAGTGGTATTGTTCATCAAGGTTCGTGTTTCAGAGTTATGGAGTTGAGAGAGGGTTGTAACCGCTATTTAAGTAATCCATAAAATAAAATTTAGGTAAATTTCAGTTCCGACTGTCGCCTCTACTCAGTAGTATTTCTACTGAGGGTTTGAGTTTATTTTAAGAAGTTAAAGAAGACCAGTTAAAGTTCAAAAAGTTAAAATGCTTTTGATTGCATTTTTTTTACTATGTATTAAAACTCTCACCCATGACTCTATCAAGTACATTTTCTGATGTCATTGATACAAACATTAACACACAAAGAAAAAGGAGTAAAAATCATCTAATTAAAAAAATCTACCTGGTTCTACACTTCCTTCAATGGTACCAATAATGTTTGTTATTGTGCGAATAACATTTTCGTTATAAACCTCAATCTTTACTATTCTGAAAAGCAAACTTACAAGTTAAAAACAAACAAACAATTAAATGTTAATTTTTTTGAAATATAAAAACATACCAATATTGAAACTAATATGAATATACAAAATTTGAAAAGTTTTAAATAACTATATCCTACTTTGAACCAGTCAATCTGTAATCTGTAATATTAAGCTTTCCTCTCCAATCCTTAGGTACAATAACACCATCCATTTCCCTATATATTTAAGTGTTATAAAGAAAGTTAAAAATAGTGAAGTTGGATATATCTTCTATAACTATTTGAATGGTCATAATCAACCTTAACAACAATAACTTTACATATTCTTGGTATTCTACTTAACAACTTATAATTTTTAAAGTTTTATGCTACTCACTAATAAGTTTTTCCTAAATCTTTTGCATCATTTGGCATTAGATTTTGACTTTACTTTTAATTCATCCCATAAAAGTCCAATAGGAGAGAGATCTGGTAATTGGGGAAGCTAAATCATTCTATACAATATTTGACCATTCTCTAACACAGTTAAATAACTTAAACAATGTTTTGAAAATTATGTTTTGAATTTAAGATTTGGGTCATTTACTTTAAAAAAATGAATGGCTTCCCATTAACCCAACCAGGACTTGCAATAAAAAAAAATAGACGGGCATGTTAATTCACACTCTCTAAAAGAGAATAAATTATCATTGAGAATGATTATGTGCACTTGAAATAATATCCATGAGAGCAATCATAAGATTTAAAAAAACTGAACTCATTCCACCATGTCAAAGAAGTTTATTTACCCAACTTCATGTATATTATTTGCAACTTATCACAATTTTTTTTTAAACTATATATGGTTTTTATTTTTTTAACTATTTAAACATGGTTTTTATGATTTATTCTAAAGAATTCTTTTCATATTATGAAAAGAATTCTTTAGAATTAGGAATACTTTCGTCTGGTCATTTAATTTTTAGAATAGACCAGTTTAATTTAAAATCGTTTTTTTTTCCTCATTTGGTTTTTATAATTTATATAAAAAAGGTACTTATTTTTATGTCTACATTTAGAAACTAATTTAAATTTTTTGTTTAGTAAATTTTTTTAATCTAAATAAGAAATAGTTTCAAATTTTTCTTCTAAATGTAGTATACATTTTTTGGAAACATTTTTATAACCAGATGCAGTTTTTAGAATAGCCTAGTTTAATTTAAAATCAATATTTTTTTCTTTTAGTTGCCAAATATATTTTGACAGCATAGTCTCTTTAGAGTATTTTTTATGTTTAAAAGATTGTCCGGGTTGGCATAACATTTTTCCATTCGCCCTCGGATAAGCCAATATATTGTTTATCAGGGTTATTATCTGAGAAAACATTTGAAAATAATATTTTTTAATAAGCATTTGCCATTCATAGGACAGTCAATTTTTTGTTTGCAATTACAATTTTCGGTATTTTTTTTTTTAAAGAAATTCATTTTTATTAATCAATTCAAAATTGTGGCTTTATATAATTCTTTCAATATTTTCTGTACAGATATGGTTTACTTTAGTAGTGTTTCTGTGCAATTTATTAGAGAAGGGAAATGTTTGTCTAATAATTTTAAAAATGCTTTTCTAATATTTGTTAAAACATTTTTGCTGTACGGAGGGTTAAACTAAATTATATTTCTACTTTTATTTATTTTTTTTTTGTAATATTTGTTTCAAATTTTAACACGAAATCTTTAAATCTCCTTCTTTAAATAGCATACACACGTTTAGCAGAGTTAAAAATATTTTCATTAGAAGAGCTTTGATTTAGTCTATAATTAATTGAAATAGGAATTTGTTTTAAGATTTGAGGGGGATGATTTGAAATTATATTAATATACGATAAAATCATCATTAGGTTTTTTATGAGGCCTATAAGAACTTTCTGTCAGGTTAAGTGTGTCATCAAGAAAATTCAAAATTTTTAGATTAATGATTATTTCAATTTGGAAGCCAATATTGATAAAACAAGCAACATATACTAAATTACCCCAGATAATAGGCCAAAATATTGCTAAAACAATTAATTTAGAAGCAAAAATTGAATTCAAGGTTTGTGTTTGGAAGTTAAAGAGTTAGGAGAGGGTTATAATCACAATTTAAAAAAAAAAAAAAGTAGTCTCAATGACTGTAGTGGCCTCCTTGGCCTTGGAAAGGCAAATTCATTAAAATAAAATAAAAAACTATAAAAAAGTATTAGAATGTAAAACGTGTTGATTTTTAAAACAAATGCAAAAATTAAATAATTATTGGAGCAATTAATTTTTAATTAAAATTTTAGTTCATTTTATCTATAAAAATTTTGTATTTTACCTTTTAAGCAGTATTCAGTACACAGCATTATATAAGATATATATATACATATATATATATATATATATATATATATATATATATATATATATATATATATATATATATATATATATATATATATATATATATATATATAATATATCTTATATAATAATGCTGCTAATTATATAATATATTTATATATATATATATATATATATATATATATATATATATATATATATATATATATATATATATATATATATATATATATATATATATATATATATATATATATATATATATATAATATATATATATATATTATATAATAATGCTGAACTTAATAGTAGCATTAGTAGTTTCACTCGCACATGTTTGACACAGAACTCTCAGCAGTCATTAAAGCCAAATGATGGCAAGATATACAGGTATATAACTTTAGTAAATTGATAAATTTTAATGTCTGTGTAAGTGTAAACACTAGTCAATTAAGTTGAGTCTGTGGGTCATATATGTAATAATTTTGTATAATATGTATAGTATAAGATAACTTTAAAAAATTTTCCAGTCTTTTTTCTTAAAATGCTTTGTTTTGCATTTAAAAAAGCAGCAAGATTGAAATAACTTTAAAATTTTCTTGTTCAGGGGTGGATTTAAACCCAAGGAACCAAAATTGGCCAATTATGATAATAAAAACAGCTCAATTGAAATTTTTAAAATTTTATTTTCATATTTCTTTCATCAAACATCTAATTTGAAAGTTTCAGTTCTTTTGTTAAAGGTTGTTTTTGTTGTTGTTGAGAGTTTTTGCAGGGAAAATGCTACAAAAAGTCTGACAGATAGAGTTCACTTATTCGATATACCTCCCCGAGACCTGTTTAACGCTATTTTGCTCTGTAAATAAATATTTACAATAAATACTTTTCATTTGATCTTTTATTTATTCGATTATATTTTATTCTTTACAGATATGACCAATGTGAGATGTAATGTAAGGCACAAGAAAATGCTGTCAATCAAATTATAGAACAGAAATTATAGAAGTTTACTGTATAACAAAAAGAGAAAATGCATAAAGATAGTTATTGTCTGTGTTCTTACTGGCAAGACCTACACTTAACTAACCTATACTTTACTGACCTACAGATGGAACTTATCATTCAAATATTTGAAGAATATTTGAATGATAAGTTCCAGGTCAAATATTTGAAGAATAAACACTTATAGGTTATTTCCCCAAACTCAAATCTCTTTAAAGAGTGGTAGTGTATCAAATGATGGAACATGGGAGTTAAAAAGCTTCAAATTTATTTGAAAAAAGTAGAGATAAAAAAACCCATATGATAATACTTGATGAGTATCTTTTTTCAAATGCGGTTTTAGAGATTATATTAAAAATCTTCAACCTCTTTTGAAATGGTAAGTCAATTACAAACAATTATTTTATTAAGTGGAACTACAAACAATTGTTTAAAAATTTTTTAAAATAAAAAGCAAAAATTATATGTTGTAGCGGACAAACTACAATGTTAAATTAACCTCACAAAGTATTTGTGGATGTTAATTCAACATGTGGAGGAACATGTGTACTTTTGGAACAAAAACTAGACAGGGAATTACTACTTTTTGTTTACCGCCATAACATTTACGAATTGGTTTTAAAATGTGTGTTTAAACAAAAATCCACCAAGTCACAAGTAGTCCTGATATCCCAATTTTCAAAAAATTTAGAGACAAATGGAAAACCATTAATCTGGCTGCTATTGAAACATACACTGATATCGTCAAACAACATTTTAATAATACAACATCAAAAAAATTGTTGATGTTTTATAATTGAGAACAGCAAAAAATTATTTTACAATTATCAGAAACTGATTGAACTATATGTTTTTTTCTGATAATGAGAAAAAAAAAAATTAAAACCAGACCTCCAGGAGCAACACATCAAGTGAGGTGGATGGCTAGCGCTATTTACTCTTTAAAGGCGTGTTTGTTGCAATCCCAGATCAAAAATAAAGCCAAAGGATAAACAAGCACTCCAAGACAACTGTTTGTTGATTGCAGTTATATATGTGAAACCATGGCTTAAATGTAGTCTGGTGGTGAAGGCGCCAAATCAAAATTTGTGCTTTTTAAAGAGGCTTAGGGACGTTGTTAAGGAAAATGAAACTGTCGACATATTGATCTCTAAAGCAGATTTGTACAAGTTTTGTCGACATCTTTGGTACTTATCAGAAATAACAGTATTATCACTCTTTGATGATGAACTTAATGAACAAACCAAGGAAAACATTGGCGTGAACTTACATAAAAGAGAGAGTTTGCTTGCATATAAAGATAGTTTGCTTGATTCTGGAAGAGATACATTTTATCAATAGAATGTCTGATTATTTGCAAAGTAAGTAGGAATGCATAGTATATAATTAGTATGTTTTCACTAAACTAATAATAATACTGCCTTATTAATTGTAGCAGAAAAATTATTAAGTAAATTTGTGTCTGTCAAGGGCAGAAATTGAAGCTGAAAGAGCAGTAAAACTTATTCAAGATTTTCATGGTTTGATCACTGCAAAAGAAGAACAAAAGCAATTTTTGCTACACTGTGTGCAAAAGGAATGAATTCTGAGTCCAGAATACAAAAATGAGACCTTCAAAAGAAAACATTCTGTCTAATTTGAAATTTTATATTCTTCTAATAAATATTCTACAAAATAAATGTATATATATATATATACATATATATATATATATATATATATATATATATATATATATATATATATATATATATATATATATATATACATATATACATACATATATATATATATATACACATATATATATACATATATATATATATATATATATATATATATATATATATATATATATATATATATATATATATATATATATATATATATATATATATATATACATATATATACATATATACATATATATATATATATATATATATATATATATATATATATATATATATATATATATATATATATATATATACATACAAAAGGTCCTTGATTTTTAATTTGGGCGGCGCCCAAATTGGCATCCAAATACGGTCGACACTGTCAAAAACGGCCTAGAATAGCCACTGTATATATATATATATATATATATATATATATATATTTAAATAAAATATGCTAGCCATGGCTAACGGCTAATAAACCCTGCAAGAACTATTTTTTAACCGATGCTGGGATTGTAAAAAACCCCATATTTGGCCAGTGCCCAATAACTTCATAAATCAGTGTGGATTACAACCTCAAGAAATGATCAAAAAACTACCACACAGAAAGAAGTTAAAAAATATCTATAACATCTAGTAAAAAAATGTCAACACAATAACATCTTATTAATATTATGTCAACAAAATAACATTTTAATAGTATTATGTCGACAAAATAACATTTCATTAATAGAATGTAATATTATGTCAAAACAATAACATCTTGTTAATATTGTCAACAAAATAACATTTTATTAATAGTATGTTAACACAATAACATCTTGTTAAATATTGTAAAAAAAAAAAAAAAAAATTTTTTAAAGAAGCAAGGGTAGGTTTTAGAGGAGAAAGTATTCTCCTTTAACTTTTTCCTTTCCTTCATGATTAAACAGAAATAAATATCTAGATTGTAGTAAAATTTTAACAAAAAAATAAAAAAATTTACTTCATAATATTTAATGCATCATATGCTGAAATGGGCTGTGTTGGTATTTTTGGCAAACCAGCATTTTCAGGTTCCAGCCGGTAGACCCAATCTTAAAATAAATCATTATAATTAAAAAAATATTCACTTTTTCGCTTTAGTGTCTTGTGATTAAAATTAGCATTACAAAAATTTAAGAATGTGCAGAATGTGTTATTACTGTGCCAACCCAAAATAATTGTAACAATTAAATATATCTTTTATAATTCTTTCTAAACTTATTTATATCTGCAACAGCTTATTATTATAAACTTGATTGTAATCATTGCAGTAATATATTACTTCATACTCATTAATTTTCACTGCATATGTAACTAGCATAAAAGAACAATTAAAAAAAAAAAAAAAAGGTAAAAGAATGCAAATTAGCTGATTGACAAACCATGGAAGTTTCAGTTGATGAACAAGTGATGATTGCTCATTTGAGAAGAGACCATGGTAGTATTTGTAGAAAAAAAAAGCAACCTTATGCTAATAGGATAGAGGCACAACCGTAGCAGCTAGAACAGATTACAACATTTTTACAGACAAAGAATAGCACAAGAATATGACGCGCACAATAAAGACAAACAACCTTGGTGGATGTAACTCGCAATCGGCCGATGAAGGAGCTGGATTAACTTGCAGTGGATTGTATATATGGTTTCAATGAAAGGCCATAAATGAATAACAGGGGTCATTATGAATGATATTTTAGTATTTTATATGATTTTTTTTTTTTTATAAATAAGTGATTTTTTTTAAATAAATACTTCATCAATATTGATATAATTATAAGCAGTAATAACTAATTTTTGTTTGGCTTAAAATTCTCAAGCAAAAAAGATTCTCACAGAAAAGAGATTCAAGACAAGTTTCCTGTTCTAAACAAACAAACTGCTATAATTCAAGATTTTTTCTCAAGAGTGGAGTATATTGTCATTAGCTAAGTAGAAGTTGTCAAAAAGATCATTAAAATTGAAATAAGAAACAAAACAGGACTAAGGATAAAAATTTATAGTACTTCAGAATTTACTGGAAATGAAAGGGGTTGTTTATCAAAGCCTACTTTAACACACTGAATGATTCAATAACTTTTAAAACTATTCCAGATATACCATATGAAGAGACCTTTTGGAGAAGACCAGATCCTATCGAATCCGCAATAAAACTTTTTGTTATAACGGTAATAAGTCATCAGTAGAACAAGGGGATTAAAATTGATTGTAAGAGATTGTAAGAGTTTTTATACTCAAGATGAGATATTAGAAGTTTTAATTAAAGATTTAAAGACTTAAATAATAAAAGTAACTGATTGGCCAATGGTAAGAGAGGTCTGAGTAAGAATACTTGAATAATTAGAACCAAAGATTCTAAAAAAAAAACAAGTTTTACATTTGTTAAATAGTGAAGATAATAGATTTATATAGAAAGTTTTGGAGAACTGTGAAATGTTGTAGAGGATGAGTTGAAAATTTGAGGATATTCTTTTTTTATAAAACTTACAGGAGATACAACCAACCATTTCAATAAATCTGAAATGGTTGATATTTTCCAATATTTGTCTCATTTCATACAGAATAAAAAGCAATTAAATATGGATGAAAAATTTTTTATTGCAATTTAAGAAACAATTATTTTAAACCTTTGAATAGTAAATTACAAGATCCAAATTAAAACACTCTGAATTAAGGCATAAAGCTTCTAAACAAATGCCCTTCTGCATTGCTCTTGAATAAAACTCTAAAGAATTTGAGCAGCTTAACAACCAACCAAGGTTATAATCCTATATTTTTTTTAAGGTATCTATATTTTAGAATATATTTCATAACCTATAAGTGTCCATAAAATAACAGACTTAAACTATAGTTAAATATTATAATTATAAAATATTATAATAAGATATATATTCATAAAAATATATGTATATATATATGGGACTCATTTTTGTGATTTCTTTATGATGACCCTTAAGAAGAAATCTTTTGTCTTTCTTCTGACAAATGTACATCTTCCTGCTGATAAATGTGCGGCTTATGAAACTTTGATAATATATATATTTTATATAATACAATTTAATATCCGACCACAAAGAAAAAAGCTGTTAAACTTGTTTCACTGTCATTCGAGGTCTATTTTTAGGCATATTTTTATGGCAAAAAAACATTTAATTCTTTCTAATTTGATAATTGGGTTTAAAGGATTATATAAGTGGGCAACAAAGGTTTAATTTTTGTCCCCTGTATGGCCAGCATAATCATAATTGATTACTAACAAGAAGAACAAGAAGAAATCACTCAATAATTTAAAGATATTCTTTATCTCCCTCAATATGTATATGCATATGTATATATATATGTGTATGTACATATATATATATATATATATATGTTTATATATATATATATATATACGTTTATAAATATATGTTTATACATACATACATACATATATATACACTATATATATATATATATATATATATATATATATATATATATATATATATATATATATATATATATATATATATATATATATATATATATATATATATATATATATATATATATATATATATATATGTATGTATGTATGTATAAACATATATTTATAAACGTATATATATATTCAAATTGAAATAAACATAAATTTAAAAATTGTGAACTTTCTTGATGTCATATTTAACCTCTCGGAAAATACATATAAGCCTTTCAAAAAACCAAACAATGAATTATTGTATATTAATATTAACTCAAATCATCCACCCCAAATTCTAAAACAAATCCCGAATTTAATTAATAATAGGCTTAACCAAAACTCCTCTAATGAAAATGTATTCAATTCCTCCACACAGATATTTGAAGATGCCCTTAAAAAAAGTGGTTTTGAAAACTTTGAATTAAAATTTGACCCTGAAAAAAAGAATACAAAAAAGCGAAATAGAACTAGAAATGTAATTTGGTTCAACCCCCCATATAGCAAAAATGTTTCCACAAACATAGGAAAAGTGTTTTTAAAATTGATCGATAAGCATTTCCTGCCCTGTAATAAATTACATAAAATTTTTAATCGAAATACTATTAAAGTTAGCTGCAGTTGCATAAAAAATATGGAAAGAATTATAAAAGGTAACAACAATGCTTTGTTAAACAAAAAAGAAATTTAAAATGAAAAAACTACAGAAAATTGTAATTGTAAACAAAAAAACAATTGTCCAATGAGTGGAAGTTGCTTATCAAAAAATGTGGTATATAAATGTGTTGTCTCCTCTAAGAATGTACCTGATAAACAATATATTGGCATAACAGAAGGTGAATGGAAAAAACGTTTTGCCAATCATAAGCAATCTTTTAAAAATAAAAATTATTCAAAAGACACCATGCTGTCAAAATATATATGGGAATTAAAAGATAAAATTATTGATGATTTTACACTGAATTGGTCCATCCTTAAAACAGTCCCTGCATATAACAATATTACCAAAAAATGCATACTATGTCTACAAGAAAAATTTGAAATAATTACATATACAAACCAAGAATGTTTATTAAACAAAAAATCGGAATTGATTTCTAAATGCAGGCACGAAAATAAGTTTCTCCTAAAAAACTATAAAAATAAGTGAGCTCAAATAATAGTTACATTAACTCCCCTTTGAGAAAAATGTATTATTTTTTAAAAAAGCTTAAGTAATCATTTCTAAAGAATTCATTTTACAATAGTGTCAGCAAATTACACAAATGTGTGAAAAATTGCAGTAGTTAAGACATGTGACTTCCTGTAATTTAATTTTTGGTATAAATTGAAGTTATATTAATTTGATCATTCATTTCTGATGAGTCTTTATTGATGAAACACAGTGTTAAATGAAAAAAAAAATTTTGCTAAGTGACTTTCTACTAATTTGTAATTGCTCTGTTCTTTTTCAGAACATTGAGCACTCTTTTTGGAGAATACATTGTTTAAATATATATATATATATATATATATATATATATATATATATATATATATATATATATATATATATATATATATATATAAATATATATAATATATATATATATATATATATATATATATATATATATATATATATATATATATATATATATATATATATATATATATATATATATATATATATATATATATATATATATATATATATATATATATATATATATATATATATATATATATATATATATATATATATATATATATTAGAGTGCCTTAAAAAAAAAAAAAAAATGAGGTCAGCAATATTTTGTCGCCTTTAATCTGTTAGAGTCAGCATCAGGTCAGCAAAAAAAAAATTTGGTACTAAGGTTTTATTATAAAACATAGCGATTTTTTGCCAACCTAAAACAGTTCTAGGTCAGCAGTTAGGTCGGTATAATAATATTAAAAATTAAAAACTATTATATTCTCATAGAAAACCACAAAATATTCAACTACACAACCAATTTAATAAACACTGTTAGATAACACTTTATTATAAAGATAAGTTGCTAAAAATGACACTTATTGGATAAATAAAGCCAAGCCGATAAGATATAGAAATACATATATAAAATTATAAAAAACAACTAAAACATATGAAGTTTAAATACCTAGATTGAGTGTTGCTAACCAAAATAAAACAACTGATTTTGAATAAAATATTGCAAAAATAACGAATACAGTAAATGAAGCCACTACAATGTCAAACATCAAAAACTACATAGGGCGAGAAAAAAAAAATATATGTATAAAAAATGACAACCTAAAAACTAAAATATTCACATATATAAGCACATATGCAAACAATATATATATACATACACATACATATATACACACATATTAACGATTTTCGAAGTAAGCATTGAATGTTCTAGTAGTGAGTTAAGTAATACTAGAAACCAGCATAAAAAATTTATCCATGAACCATATCTACCAAACCCAGTCATAACTCAAATTACCTATGATGAATTTAGCATCTATAATAAGATTTATATTATCTTCTGGTTCTAAAAACTAGCTTAGACATATTTCAGAAACAAATATATTTTCTGTGAAAACAGCAATTACGTATCTAATGGTAGTTCTGTTGCGTAAGTACACAAAAAAATAAATAAATAAGGGAGCGTACATAAAAGTAGTATTGTATATAGAAAATATAAAGGATAAGATCAAACAAAGACATTTAATTACAACAGTTTAAAAAAAAGTTTTACCATAAGATGTTTGAGGCTATTTATGTGTAAAGTGTTTTGATGTTATTCATATGTATGTACCGTGAAAAAATATTGGTGTATAATAAGATAGTCGTTACTCAGTAGCCAAAAATTCTATCCAACATTAATTTTTTTTGTTATATTTGATGCATCTGTGGTGCTTGAACTAGATTGAGCAATAAAAGCCAACAGAGAAATATTTCTATTCATTCAAATAATTTTATTGTTGTAATTCTTTATAATATTTGCTATGTTGCTTGTGCAGTTGTAAAAGTCAGATACAGCTGCACAACCCAAAACTATAAAGAATCACAACAATAACATTATGTCGATGGGCTTTAAGCTTGCAGTTGTAAACTAAGCAAAACCTGCCCTAAGAATAGAGATTGCAAGAAAACAAATGTTATTTAAAAGTGAATTGCATCATTCCCAAACACACTTGACAAAACAAATATAGGTTAAACAGAGGGTATGTAGATAATTAGATAGGCAAACCACAAGCAATCATTCAAACAAAACTTACAAACACAACTACGCTTTTAAAATACCTTTGGAATACAAAGGATAAATTAAAAACAACACCTAATTTAACATGGTCTATTATAAAAAGTGCCCTCATCTATAATAACATAACTAAAAAATGCCTATTATGCTTATTCAAAAAACTAAAGATTTTATTGTATAAATATCATAAAACTGAAAATTAAAACTCTAATGTATATTTTTTGAGTTGCAACTTGTACTCTCTATCTTAATAAAGATTTTATATATTAAATATTTAAAAATAATTTTGTCAAATTTTGTAAACTTGTGTGATTAAAAGTTTAGAATATCAGATTTATGTAATTGATTTAGGAAAAGTTAAGTGGTAAATTAATTTAGCAAATTTCAGTAATTTGAAATTTACATCATAATATTAATTGAGCAATTTAATAATGCCCATTAGTGAGTGTTTGACACAAGGAACTCATGGAAGCCATTAAAACCATTGTGGAAATATCTCCTCAAATTCGATTCTTAGCATTTATTTACCGCTTGATAAAGTTTTTTTTATGAAATATAATTATGAAATAAAAAAATTTGAAATAAAAAAATTTATTTCAACAATAATTTATTGAAATAAAATAAAATGAAGAAAATGAAGAAAAAAAAAATTGTTTATGAAATAAAAAAAATTAAAAATTATATGTATGGTATGCCTTCGTAGCTGAAGTGGTTACTCGCTGCGCTTCTGAATTACATTGAGGCATACTTAATTTCTTTTTTTTAAATTAATTTAAATTTTCTAAAACCACTGATATAAAGCAGTTCGCGCAACGACTAACAAAGGGTTTAAAATTCTATAAAAATAATTTTTTTTTATATACATATATAATTATTTTCTATTTATTTTACTGCTTACTAAAAAATAATAAAGTAAAAGAAAGTAAAAGTTAAATATTAAAGTAAGGAATAAGTATTGAAATAGTTGGTTGTGAATAGATATATTAGGTAAAAAAAAAAATTAGGTAAAAACGCAATAAAAGTAAGAATAACTTTGTTTACTGGTAACATAAATCAGGTTTTAAAATATTTAGGTTTTGAGTTTTAACTCAATTTTTATAAAATTAAAAAAAAAAACCTTTACTAAAAACACAAATACTTTTCATTACAATTAAAATAAAAACCTTTAGCTGGATAACCATCAGTTAATGGATCACCATAGCTATATTTTATTGTTCCTCTCTGGACACCATTACGTGGCAACCATTTACTTTTAGGAAATAATTCATCATCATTAACCGGACCAGAATCTTCTGGGTCACTATATATTACAACTCCAACTGCTCCATATTTCTCTGCTAACTCAACCTGGAATACAAATTTTATTTTAATCACTTTCAGATTGCCAAAAAAGTATATAAATATTTAACCCCTATTTGAATAACATTTACACATTTAAACAATGTTTAAATGTTAACTTATTTATTGTTGAACTTATTTTTCATGTTAACAACATTTAAATTAATTAACATTTAAGAAACGAGTTTACCCATATTTTTAAAAAAAATATGGGTAAACCAAAAATTGCATACTTAATGGACAATAAAAAACTAATATGTATAAGTATATATTAGTTATTTTTTAATTATCATTTTTTTGTTTGTTATTTTTATATTTGATTTGTTTAGAGTTAGTAAAAAATAGTAAAATGCTTTTAAAATTTTTTTCGAAAAATTATTGAAAAATAAATATTAAATATTAAAAATTTTTTACCTTGCTTCCTCTTGCGTTTTTACCATACCGCACAATTACAATTTTACCAGAACAATTTACACCAAAATCTTTTAATTTTTCAAAATCTTCTACTCTACCATAGTTCAAATAAATTGGTTCGCCCTATTAAAAAAGTCTAGAAAATTCTATTTTTCTTTTTGAAATGTTTTTTTTTTAAAATTTTATTATTTATTACTTTGACATTTTAATTTTCTTTTTTTCAATAAATTATATTGTATTCTTTTAACTTTTAAATGCTATACTACCTCAGATCAAGTCACACTGCTACTAGTAAAATATAATCTAATAAAAGAGGCTTCTTAGCCCAGGTAAAGACAACTTACCTAGGAGACTTACATAGAAAACATTTTATAAAACCTGTAACTTAATAATTGGGTAAAAGGTAGAAAGAGATTTTTAACCTTGGATGGTAACCTTTCTAGTGATAGCATCAGAATAAAAACAATCAGTCCTGATCTGGAAAACTGATTACTGACAGGAAGAGCATTCAATTTTAAAAAGTTGTTTTAATTCTACCAATGTCATTTAAATAAGAAAATGGAATTATGAAACTCACCCAAATTAATCAGCCAAATGTAAAAACAGATTACAAATGTAAATAAAAAAAAAAAAATTATACAATCGCAATTTTTTTTCATACTACCAGACATACTCAACAAAACACAAAAAATGTGAATTTTAAATCAGATCTAGAAAACCAAAATTTAAATAGTAATTTAATTTTGTTTTTGCTTAACTAAATTTAGTATTATTATTTTAGAACACAACATAGTTTTACCTGAAACTTATTTATAGATTTTAAGTCAATTACATAAAGTTGTACTAAGTTTTATTTGTTTGCTTTGCAATTTGTCATTGAAGAAACTGTGTCTTTGATCACAATTTTTTTAATTAGTTCTTTAACAAAATAACCCCTCTGTCCTCCTTTTACTGATAAGCATAATGATTCTGTGTGTCAATTTTATCCTATATTGATTTTTAAATGAGGCTACCATTTGCTCTTCCTAAAGTTAGTGAAGACTGAAGTGACTGAATTGTTCTTCATAAGTTTTACTGCAAATCCTTGTAGCTCTTTTTTATTGCAAATCCTTGTAGCTTTTTTTAATTTTTCTAAGTTTTTAACTTCACTTTTAAATATGGATTGCTGTATTAAGAATCATATAGTTTAAATGTGGACATTTAAATTATACAAATCAATTAGATTGGACATTTAAATTATACAATTTTTAATTTGAAATGAATAAGCATTTTTAAAAAATTTGATGTGAAAATGTTGTTACATAACAAGCATTCGGTTTGCTTTAGAACTATAATAACCAACTTCATTTTTTTTTAAATTATTTAAAATTTGGACACTGTAAATCTCCAGGTATCCAAATTATGTCTATTATTTAGGTGTATAATTAGGTACCCAGGTTAAATTATTGAGTATTAGGATCACCAAAACTTTAAGCATTTAAAATATGCTCAAGTATTAGCTGCATGGAAAGCATTTGAACTACATTTTTTATAAATTGAGAGCTTTTAGGTTAACTCTTTCAGCACCAGGGTAAAAATATTTTGACTGTTTGAAATGATTGAGGGAATCCTTTTTTTTTGAAAACAAAACATTGCATTACAACTTTACAATGTAAAGTTACTACTGAATCAAACTATTTATTTATTAAACATGAACGAATGATTTTGACTAAAATATTCTTGAATTAGAAGAATTGTACACCTTGCATTTTGTAAAAATGGTATTATTGATTGTTTTTCTTAAAACCATTTACATAGAGCTTGAGAGTTATTGGAAGTAAAAACCAATCCAGCAACAGCAGCAAACATTTCTATGATTTAAGAACCAATCCAGCAACAGCAGCAAACATTTCTATGATTTAAGAACCAATCCAACAACAGCAACAAACATTTCTATGATTCAAAAGACTAAAAAATAATCTTTCTACTCAAAATTGTAAGACAACTATAAGTTTAAGTATATATTTACACAATCGAGCAAACACAATATGTAAAAGGGTGTCTTTAAAAACCAGTAGTTGGCATGTATTTTTAACAAAGTATAAATTCATCTAGAACAATAACTTAGTATGATACATTTTTCAAAATGTTTAAAGTTTGCAAGCAGCAGATATTGTGAAAACAATTTAGTTAAGACAATTTAATTCAAATACATATCAATTTGAGAATTACTGTAAAAATATTTATTGCAAATATTACATTGTGTACATAATACATTGTGGGACGCGTTTAAAAGTACCACATTTTAAAGTAGTACTTTAATAAAGTAAGTCATAATTATTAACAATATATATTAGACATGAAATAATTAAACATTGCTATTGTAATACAATTTATTCAAATAACAAAATTAAATAAAAAGAATAGATTCAACATAATAATTAAATTAGCAATGTTGAAATCAATGAGACACCTGAGCTAGAATTCGGGAAACTAATTCATCAATGTTTGGATTAATTCAACTGATACAAAGACGTAAAGAGTTTTCTAAATTATTGTCAGTCAGCCTTGTACAATGTTTTGATTTATTAACTTTCATCATTGTACGATGTTTTGATTTATTAACTTTCATCATTGAAAAGAGCTGTTCACATTAAGTACTGCCAAATGCACAAACCAATCTTCTTGCGAATTTTCTAAGCTGCGGAAAATGGTCTTCTACGAGGTATTTTTTGTAGAAATTGCACAATTCCAAGTCTTCAAAGTTAGATTGAAAAGTAAATTTTCTTGAATCTGGATTAACTCTGTTTCCAAGTGTATAAGAGCATTTTGTATATTACTTTTTGTTGGAGTAGCAAATAAATTAAAACAGCTTTTCATGTTTTTAAAATCGCTAAATCTGTTCGAAAATTGCTCTGACAGTAACTTGAGTTCTTCAGCATATTGAGCAAAAGCAATATTTTCATACAGAGAGAGTGTAGCGAAATGGTAACTGCTACCAGATAGCATCTGTTCCTCCCACAAGCCAATTTTGCTCTGAAACACTTTCAAATGTATGTACAAATTATGTGCTAACTGACCTTGTTTGTAAAGTTTTAAATTTAAATCGTTCAAATAGCCTGTGAGGTCAACCAGAAATGCTTAAGTTACATATCCATTTTGGGTCACTCAATTCAGATAGTGGTTTACCTTTCATTTGCATAAAAACTGCTATCTCATTTCTCATCTCATAAAAGCGTTTTAGCATTTGCCCTTTGCTTAGCCATCTGACTTCACAATAATATGCTATGCTGTCATATTCAATTGATAGTTCATCCAAAAATGCCTTGAACTGACAATGGTTAAGCCCTCAGGATCAAATAAATTTGATGGCTTTTATGACTACATTCATAACATTCTGGAGTCGAATGGACTTAAAACACAAGTTATGTTGGTAAATAATGAAATGAAGGACTATCAAACCATGTTTTTGCACATTTAATTCAGTTGCTTTTTCATTCAAAATTCCAATTAACTTTACATAAGCCGACTATAGAAGGTGCACCGCCTGTGCATACTCAAATAATTTTGACAATAGCAGGCCAAAACTTGTGAATACCTTTTGAATTTCATTAAAAATGTCCTCTCTTCTAGTGGTTCCTTTTAGTGGCTGTAAAGCAAGCAACTCCTAAGTTAAAGTGAACTCTTTATCAACACCTCGAATAAATATAGCCAGTTGAGCTGTGTCTGACAAATCAGTGCTCTCATCTAATGCTATCGAAAATGACTCAAAACCAGCCATACGGTTAGTCAATTTTATTTTTATATCATTAGCAATCATTTCTATATGTCGGACAACAGTTCGTCTTGACAAACTAATTTTTTCAAAATAACTTTTTTCTTCAGGACACATAACACAAATTTCTGACATACACTCCTTGATATATTCTCCTTCAGCAAATGGTTTTAATGACCTTCCCAATTTTGAACAACTATAAAACTAGCTTTCACAACAATATCAAGTTGAGTTTTTTGTTTTACAAAAATGTCATGTCACGAAGAAGGCAGGGAGGGATTGTTTAAAATATCACATATACAAAGAAAGGAAGGAGGGGGGGGGAGGTGAGTCTAAAAACAGCAAAAAAGTCTCCAATTAATTGAATAGCCCCATATAGCATATACGTGCAATTACTTTTAAAAGTAATAGCATATTTAGCATATATGCCTGTACTGACGCCCATGCCGGTCCCATGGTACCAAATAAGATCTGGGTTCACCCATGCTCAGATCATGCAACTTGTCTTGCATTGCTTCAGGAAGTTAAAACAAAATACTTTAGTTTAGCATAAAATTTTGTATTTATAAAATAATGGAAATGCTAAACTAAAATATTTTGTTTTAACTTCTTGTTTTAAGATTCTCACTTCTCATACCCTAGGGTAAAAGAAAACATCATAATAACTGTCAAATTTTCTTTTCAGTGGTTTTGTTTTATTACATAATTGACTTGAATCAACATTTTTATTTGCTATAGGGAATGGCAGTTTCGTTAAATAAAGAAATTGTTTCAATAAATTCAAGAAATACTATAGATAGCATTTTAGTTTATTTGAAACTATATATAAACAAAATTCAACTTGTCAGAAATATAAGGAACATTTTGAAAACATAAATAAAAGTTCAACAACTTTTCCATAACATATTATGAAAAAGACATTACTGCTGTGTGATTATCTAGTCAATATAAATCTACATTTGTAACTTTGATGCGTACAGTTTCAGTTGTATTAACATAACTAATAAAAGTTGAGTTTGAATTAAAATCCACTTGTTTTTTATTAGTTTTTTTCTGTGTTATTTCAGATTGAGAATTTATGGTACCGTTTTTGCATGAATAAAAACATGATTTTATTGACAGAGCAAGTATTGATTAAATCACAACAACAAGTATTGTATAAGAAAAAAATACAGTAAATTCTACAACCAGTGTAAACAATATGCTGTCATCTCAAGAATTGTAATAATTTTCAACAGCAACAGATAATAATTTTCAACAGCAACAGAAAAATATACTGAATTGTGAAAAACACTATCACTCTTTGCAATAACAAACTACAAAAGTTTTTATTTTATATAGAAATACAAAAAAAAAAAATCTACCAAAA